CATTTAATCTTTATTTCATATTTGTACACGCCCTTAGCATGCCACATACAATCAATATAATACAGTCCAACGCAGCCAAGGTAGAAGTAAAATACAAAAAATATATATATTTATATATTTATATATATATTTATATATGTATACTCTACGCCGAGAGATATTATTGTTACCACGATGTGTGTGTGTTATAACGTTGAATATATTAGATGGGTAGTAGCTAAGAGTATAATACAAAGAAGAGTGCTGTGGATACGGTAGGACACGTAATTCGGATTGAATGTGGTGCGATTTCGTGCGGATCGCAAGGGATCTTTTACGGGCTTGGCAATCTATCTCTCTCTTTCTTTCTCTCTCTGACCATGATCTCGATTAATAAAAAGTCTCTGGTTCGATCAACTATATAAATGTATAAACTAAAAGAAAGCAATGAGCTTCCTAGAAATTGAAAATCACAGTTTGGCGCCGTTTATCCGTCCGTAATCTACATACGCAGAGAAACGGAAGAACGATTTAGCGTCCAACCTTCGTGCGAAGTATACTCAACGAAAGCGCAGAAGTTTCCTAGCCGGTTGTTAAGTATGGCATGAGAAAGGTTCGACCGCGAATTCGGGAAATTTCTTTCGCAAACGTTCTCCGAGCGATCATCTAATTACATCCTGTCAGTTCATCATATCTTATCGCATTTCGAACTTTTACTCGCAATTTTACTGTTCATTTAAAGCGTGTCGAGACCTCTTGTAAGGCCAATTGGACACAAAAAAAAATTATGAACTATTTCGATTTTATCTCGATGAAATGAATTACACAACGAATTCGTGAAATAAATTACAACGAATTCGCCGATACATTAATCCGGGAGTAGTAACAAATGTCCCGCCAGAGTATAACAACGTTGGACACTCGCCAGGAAGATTAAATAAATCCACTTAAAAATATGAGGAGAGAAATTTATATAAATAACAATTCTCTGTCAAAGATTGTAACATGCGACGAGCACGTGAATCTCGTCCAACTGCTAGCGGGTTAATAGTCTTAGACGATACAATTTCGTAAATAGTTTGCATATACAATTTTTTAGCCCCGTCAATTAAAGACGGTCACCGGGAAAAAGATGTTCTCAATAAAAAGAATGATCATTACTGAACGTAAAATCAATCGATCGCTACTCGGCAAGCCGACAATTCTTTTTTTTTTCTTTTTCTTTAACATACATACTGCTTACACAGCCATAAGTTTTCTCAAACTCGGCACGGAGACGCCTTCGTCGCGATAGTCTAACGCGCGGATATAACCGGTAAGCATTTATGGCAGCGTTACGAGGCCTGCTTAGGGTATTGCGATTGCCGTAAAAACGAAAAGAACTTAATTCAAAACGATGAAACGATAAGATAATAGTTCATGAGAGTCAAACCATGTCAAGCCTTGTCAAGCGATTTTTTCGCAATCGCCGTAAAAGGATTTCTTTGCACGATTTAAGACGAGAAACTGAAAAAATCGTTTGATCAATTGACATATGATGACTGTATTAACAATATAACGTAAATGAATAATTAACGTAACTCAACTAAAAATAAAATCGATATATATCGATTTAGATATCGCATAATCTGACTTACTCCTCATCTAGGCGGGCGGCAGGGAATCAAAACGGAAAAAAGAAAAGGCGATGGTAGAGCAGAGATTTTTAGAATATACCATATTATCGTACTCCTTCCTCGTTTCTTATCAAACATAATTATTTAGATGAGAAACAGATTTAATTGAAAAATAAAGAAAACAATAAAATTGTAATTGATGCAATGATTGTATTTAATAACATAATTAAGTCCCTTTGCCATTTCACTTTTAGATTTTTGCCATTAATTGACGTATCCCTTTTTACAAACTCGCGATAAATTATCCCTCTTCTTTCTCACTCTTGCTCTATCACCCTCTTGTATCTCCTTTTACATCACCGTTTACGCAGGATGGTCTTTGTATTTCGTCGGAACGTACATTCTCAGTCGCGAGACTTTTCTCCGACCACCTCGTAGATGACATATTCTCTATAATTCCTCTATCATTTACGCGTGTGTGTGGAATATATTTTTCTCTCTCTATATTTTATAAAATACATTAGTTTACAAACAACGTGGATTAAGTGTCGACGCCCTGCGCGGGAGTCATCGCAGCTCAGACTCGATCGTGGAAATTAAGGAGGAGCATGGGGGAGGGGAGTGAAATCGGGAAACGTGTGCATAACGCAAGTTGAGTTTGGAAGAACGGCAGTACTCAAGTTCCGCATAATATATTCGGTCGCTACCGCTGCGTATTCAAAGTTCAAGAAACTCTCCTCGTACCTCTTCGTTTAATAAATTCTCCGTCTGGATCGATTGTCAAGTCGTTCCACCTAACTCTTTGTCGAAAGGGATTGAAATTTTTATTTATAAAAGATGCTTCCTGTGACATTTCTTTCTCTATCGAACTATCGAATCGCGAAATTGTTACAATCCGGCGATAATATACGAGCGTTTTAACAACGTGTTAACGTGAAACAATTCGGATATTACTCTAAGTTAATGATATATATGGATATTTCAAGGCGCGACAGAAAGATCGATGTGTTTCTCGCACACGGATGTACGTATACTCGGAGACGATAAAATTCTAAAGTAGCATTTCTCGACGATTTCCAAGTGGGAGATTTTCACACACAACTAGAAATTAATTATATATATTTAAACGCTACTATGTGTCGCATATGGGGAGTTGCTGAAACACTGTAGCGACTTACCTGCAATTTTTACGCAACAAGCGAAAACTACACCGATGAAACGATAAAAGCTCTCGATAAATTTGTAATCGCAATATTACCTATAGCCTACGTCTATCATCTTTTTCAATGACGACCGATGACCACGGAAAGAAAAAGGGATTTTTTTCTCTTCGTAACAAGATCGTTTAACGGAGCTGTGCGACCGATTGGCAAAGACGTCGATCAAGAACAATAAGACTATCTCTTATCGCGCTACATACATATTTACAATTCCTCTAGCATTACGCGCTAGAACGCCTTTTTCCTTCGCGTCCGAAACATGCACTAACATAGGAAGCAATGGGAAGGTATCTATTCAGAGAACATATCTTTTTCTTTTGCTCGCCTGCTACAGAATAAGTTTTCTTATCGGAACACACTATTAAATAAATATACTGTCTGTAAAAACATTGGTAGAAGCGCCGCATGTGAAAGCTCCATAGAAGCTTCAAAAGTCATCCTTTCTTACATAGACGTCGATATACTTGATGTAGTGCGATAGTGCATGCTGCGGACGTATCTACATTGAAGCAAGACCAAGTCATCGAATTCTTTTCATCTATCCGCTTTGCCTTTGAATCTGTACAAATCTGTTTTGTTTTGTTGTCGCATTCGCCAGATCGATGTTCGCGCTGAACGTGGAGAAGGTTTAAAAGATTTTTATTAGGCTATCGCGTAATAGATTTCGATTGAACCTTCTTGCAAACACGTTGTAGTCTATCTTCCGCCTTTCTCTACTCGTAATTGATTGCCAGAACAATATTTTTTTTTTGTTCGATATAAAGCTTGAAGCTATTAAATACATACTCTATATTCTCTCTGCAATTAATCTACTGATAACGATGAACGTTTTACGATCTAAAACTGTAAAGAGATTAACCGACAGTTCCGTTTGACTAATGAATGTTTTAATGATAACTTTATTGATACTAATGAAGCAATATATTAAATTATAATATTAAAATTTAATTTTAGCGACAAATCGCTCCATTGAATTAAATATATAATTCGATTTTTGTTATTATAAAACCATTTTACGCTCTCTTACCCTTTCGAAGAGAGCATACAGTTATTACAAAAAAAATATATA